AAAACAAATTTCATAACCAATTGCAAATTTTTTTCACTTTAATAGACAATTTTCATGTAAAACAAAACCAAACGAACACTAAACTTTAATAAAAAATGATTTTTTTAGGAATTTTTTTCTTTTTTTAATTTTTGGTAATGAAAACAAATTTTATAATCAATTGTGGAAAAAAATATCACTTTAATGGATAATTTTCATGAAAAATAAAGTCAAACGGTTACCAAACTTTCAACATTTTTCAGATGAAAAATTATACCAATCAATTTGCCAGTAATTAGCAACTAAATAATTTCTTAATTGGTTGGCAATCATGGATGAATTTTCTATTCATAGGTAATTAATTAGTGGTGGATTTACCAATAGAGATTTTTCGTTGATAAATCTTGTTATCAACAAAATTCAGCTCTATTTATTTATTTTTATTTTTTTTTGTAGTGTAAAATAAAATCTACTGCGTATAAAAAAATGGACAAAATAAATTAGGCAACAATTATATATCATAAATGATGAAGCGTCGAACTTTTTGTTGCAAAATAAATTTAGTTACAAACATAATTTTTCACATAAATGAATATCCATTGTCACAAAATAATTTGTGTAACAATTTTATATGTTGTGAAATAAAATATGTGACATATATAAAAAAATCACAAAATAAATTAGGTAGCAATTGCACATTGTTGCACAAATGATGATGCGACAAGCTTCCTGTGTTGCATAAGAAATTTAACTACAAACACAACTTGTTACCTAATAAATTGTACTATAAACGTTGAATATCTTAAAATATATTATGTAATGCATCAAACTCATTGTAAAACAAATTAAGCAACAAACATGACTTGTTATAAAATGTATATTACTACAAGCATGTGTTGTTGGAAAATAAAATAGATAACAAACGTTATACCTTTAAAATAATATTTGCAAAAATGATTTTTTCCCAGAAAAAACTTTTTTGGAATAATCATTGCTACAAATTGACTTGTAGCCTTTTAATTTTTAGCGACATATATGCGTTGCAACAACATTATCGTGAAAAATATCTTGTTTCTACTTCATAATATCAGCATTGAACAAATAACGTTGCGAATTTGTTTATGCAATGAATGACTAAAAGTTGTGCAAAATATATTATGTGAATCATATAGCACAACAATACCTACAACAAACATCTTATTGTAGCTAAATTATTTTTGCAACTAAATCTGTATTTATGTGACAACATTTTTTGTCGTAAATTCAGCATTTTTTTTGTACATTAGACTTGTTAACAACCAGGAAAATGAATAAGCAAAGACATACGAAGAATTAAAAACATGTCAAAAATAATCCCAAAACTAATGCCTGTCTTTTAGAGCATTTAATAAGATGCTGATATTAAGTATTCACATTTGATCTTAAATTATTTCTGTCATTTTCTAAAAAAAAACGAAATTAAGGTTTCTACATTTTCTAGTTAATTATAACTGTATTACCAAATAGTACTGAGATTGATGTTTTTGAAAGTTTTATTCTTAAGTTCATTTATTTTATATGTTTAAACAAGAATTTAATTTGAACTCTTCTACGAATTTCTCTTTTGAAAGCATTATTTATTATTATAAGATTGGCTATTGTGTGATACACAAGTTATGTTGGGAATTTACTTAATCATGCACAGCGGAAATAAAATAATTTTCAATTCCCAAACGAGGATCTGCAATGTGTTTAGATAGAAACTGTGATGAGAATGATACCTTTGATGAATTCCACAAACTCTTTTGCTTTTTCTTGAACTCCAATGATCACGATCTGCAATCCAAGCTGTCCAATTG